AAGTGACTATAAAAAGTCAGGTATCTACCAAGTTAAAAACACGAATATTAATTTCCACTTTTGATACAAAAAACATTTATTATTACAAATTTATGAAAAATATTCGTACAATACCTTTGATCCTTTCAATTAGTATAAATGATATCTGATAGATTCGGATGAACGTTTTATATTCTATAGAAGTTTTTCAGTAGAATGACTTCCTGGCATTATAATTCTGGGCGAAATGAAAATTTTTTAAAAATTAAAACAGAAGAAAATGAAATAAATACAACTAATTTCTAACGTTAAGAGCGACAAAGTAAGCTCGATAAATTATTAATTATTAAATTATTAAACTAGTTATTAAATTATAAAACTTAACTAATCGCAGGTCGGCAAATACCGATGCAATTAACACTAAGCGGGGTCAAATGACCCCCTTTAAAGTTTATTTTAAAATTGTACATTCGCTGTTACTTCTTTCGCTCATTTGACTTTTCGTAAATTCTTATATCACCTGATTATTCGATTTCTCGCTTCTCGTTTTTCTCGTAGCTTACTTTTTATAGGTAAAAATTCTTTGCCTATCTTACGTACCACGAGGGATCATTTGACCCCATACGAAGTTTACGTATTTTTCGGTTCCAACTGGGAACTTAGTTCTAAACTCAGATATACTTCTCAAGTGAAGGACTCACTTATCTGAGCTCAGTGAATACCACTCAGTGAATTTGTTGTCGTGAAATTAGCCGAACCTTTCACCAACTGTAGGAGAAATATTACAAAGGACAATTTTTTCACCTCTGCACCTCTTGCTGCAAAATTGTTGGCAAAAGAGACAACATTAGTCGGGACAATACGTGCAAACAGAAGAAAATTGCCGGCACTTGCGAAAACGGCGAAAGATAACACGAAACTCTTTTCTACAGTAATATACAAATCAAATAACTGTACGCTAACAATTCATAAATCAAAACCGAGAGAAAGAGTTGCGATACTGAATACCAAACATAAATCCGTAAAAACGAAAAACAGAGAAGAAAACACCCGAAACAATTATTATAATAAAACTAAACTTATTATAACAAAACTAAATTTGGCGTCGATATGGTTGACCAAATGGCGCGAAAATATAGCTTTTTGTTTACCGAAATAGAAATATGTGTTTGATTATTGTATAAGAAATGGGAAATTATGTGGCAAATTATTTCCTGTAATAAATTAGAAATTTCTTTCTGAAAATTAACGTTTATTTCATAAGGGGTCAAATGATCCCTCATGGTGAGAATAGGTAGGTGCAAGGTACCGGTACGTTTAGTGTTAAAATCCGTTTTCGACGTCCTACATATATGTATATACATTATATTTATTATATATATGTAGTAAAACACATGGACTCGATAAAGTCGATTGTTTCTTCTGACGTTGAAAAGGGAAGCTATTTTTAAAAAGTCGCCTCTCGAGTGCAAAGGGTTAACAACAAATCAAGTATCTCACTGCACTTTAATGCCTTGCAGCTCTTTTTAACGCTTTTCATACAAGTTTATAGTAGGATAGATTAGGATAGTCACGTTAAGTGTGTCACCCTGTATTACCCTCGATACTGGTTACGCATGAATCCTACGCGCTGGTCAAACTTACGGTACTTTAGATTAATGAAGCCCTTGGGGACAATTAAATCATCCTAAATGGCTGTGATATATCCTACTTTACTCCGCTAATATTGCTGGATTTTGGGATATACGAGGTCTGAAATTTTAAACTTTTGGATACAATGACAAATTTTTGTCATATTTAGGTGCGAATCTGACACTCGGGTTTAGGTTTCGTTTCTAATTAACAACGAGAGAAGTGAAATAAATTAACACAATAATAATAAATAAATTACATTCTTGAAGAAACAAAGGACTGTCGAAATGCTATACTAAATGCTATACTAATTATCGACACATTAAACAAGATAATAATAATAAAACAAATAAATTACATTTTTGAAGAAATAAACGACAGTCAGATAGTTATACTAATTATCGATGCATTAAACGTGTGTGTAGATCGACTATACGAATTGTGATCTCGAAAACTGTGTATCTAATTTTTCCTAATTAATTTATGGTTCGTTTTCATCTCGTTTTGCCATAATTTTTTGAAATTATTCTCCTCGGCAGGAGCATGTTCCATTTGTGCAAATGTATCAGAATTACATGGCGAAAAATCTGGGTTATGGAGGTTTCACCATGTTATACTGCCTCTTATTTCTCCTCTTTATTCCTCCCATTGATATTTATGCAACAACTTCTGTTATATCACACGGTATGGTGGAGCATTATCGTGGAATGGGATTACTTTTCTATCGAGTTTCACAGCTCGTATATTTTCCACGGTTATTTATAGGCATTTCAGCGTTTTACAATATGCAGAAGCATCGAAGAAACTGAATTAGGGCAAGAACTTCTTCGCTATCTTCCGAAATAGAAGAATCAGATTTCGCACCGCGGTATTCGTCATCGATTTTCTTACTTCGTGCTACTTTGTCCGTAAGTGACGACTCGGGGAATTTTCTCTGAGCGAGATACTGAGCCTCATTGGAAGATATTTCCGATTACAGATACAACGCTACCGTTTAATAACGAAAGTTCGTGTTAGGTATCTTTATGATCGTGTGAGAAGATGTATAGAGAAGATCTATTTAATATAATTTATTTTATATAATTTATATAATTTATATAATTTAATTTATAAACTCGTATTCCTTCCAAATGTTAACTTACGAGCTGCTATATCGGTGTCCCAAAATTCGCGCAAGATTTGAATCTGGCGCCATTTGTGCGGTGAAATGTTGTCAACGAAAAAGAAAAAGATGACGTGACAGCTGACAAATCAGGGTTATTGACACTAGGTTTACGGAGGCTATCTGTATACCTATTTCCAAGGACATCTGTTAAATTATTTGTCAATTCTGGGGATTCTTAAAATTTTTCCTATAAGTCGGAAATCATAACGCGAGACACGATAATATCGATTTCAAACCGTGTTTTGTTTTGTAAATGTAATTAACGAAACTTGATAGAGCGTTGGTAAAAGTTTCGTTAAAATAAAATCAATAAAATGTATTCGATATAATACATGTTGACATGATACGTGAAATAAATAAAATATATCGATGTATGTGATACCAAATGAATTTATTTTGAAATAAATTGCAGAGAAATAAATTTTCGAGAAATTGATAAATTTTTAATAAATTTTGGGAGGAAAGGAAATATAGGAAGGACAGATAATGTGATTAATTATTCTCTGTTTTAATTATACTAATATAATTTAATTATATTATTTTATATCGTAATTGCATTGTACCTGCGGTCAATTATGAAATAGCTGAAGAAATATATGAGGACGAGTATAAATTATGGTAGGGAATGATATCATTCCACGGATCTCGAAAATTTTATGACAGAAAAAGAGCTTTTTCCAGCAGTAATTAATCGCATTCTGTGAACACCATTTAGCCTCAGAATTGTGTTTGCACGAGGAAATGTTAAAAGTATATATATAATATTAATTTTCAGTATAATATAATATTTTCAGGAAAAAATTAATTTGTTTCCAAATAAGAGCTTGTTTAATTTCAATCCGTGCACAGAATGCAAAGATAATAAATACTATTAATTATTAATTAAAACATAAAAATAAGCTTAATAAATAAGCTGCATAAAATCTTAACAATAATTTTCATTATTACACTTAACAATGCTTTTTACTTACCTTATACTTCCCTATTTTCTAATTCAAAAATTAGGCACAATATTTATGGAAACGCGTGTTTAGGTAATTCCAAACATGCATGAAAAAGAATTTATAAACTTTGAAATTTGGAAATAAAGAATTTATAAATTTATCTCTAAATAAGACAGACATATAATTTCTTCCCGATATTATAACTTAATAATAATTAATAATTTCTGATTTCCCTTGGTTTTTATTGAAAACATTTTTAAGAATCTCAGAAAAGATTTCGGTGAGAATATTCCTTATATCGGGTGTCCCAAAATTCACGCAAGAAGTAATTTTCATAGAAAACATAGATTTTTATGCGTTGTTCTTTCGTATAGTACTCCATTTTTAATAAGAGCTGAGCTATCACTTATCAGGCTGTCTTTTCTTTTTCATCGATAACACTTTACCGCACAAATGGCGCAAGATTCAAATCTATCGCGAATTTTGAGACAACCTATGTTGTTGCGTCGCGATTGAATCCTTTGATGTATTCCGACGGGTTGTAAATCCGTCTCGCGACCTCGCTGTGTTGCCCGCCAAATTAATCTTGGACAACTGTTTCAATTAGCACGAGCAAAAGGAAGATCTCGGCTGGAGTCGAACGCTAAACTCTGGTACTCTAGGCATGAGCCGTTCTCTATGAGGTTTCGTTTAGAAGCGTGTCTTCGACGATTCGAAGCTAACTGCTCTCTTCGATGATTCGAAAGGAAGTGTGTGCTCCTCGATCTTCCTAAGATCGGTCTTAGGAAAAATCGGGAGCTCGCCAAATATAATTGGCTGATTTGACCAAGGGCATTCCCTTGGTCCGCGAATCGATCACCTTGGAGGAAGGGAAGGTTCCCCCAAAAGGAAGACGATAGTGGAGGAAACCCTCTCCTCCAAGGTGAGGTACGTGGGGTCCACTCACGCGCTGGTGACCCCATCGGTCGTTTATGGCCTCTAGCGAGGGCCTGAGGCTTCCAACGTGTGCGGACCACGTGGAGTCCTCAGGCCTATTGTCAGCCATGTCTTAAGAGCCGTCGCCTAATTTCGTTAAATTAGGGATTTCCAGGATTCTCGTGTTCCGCGACACGAGAAGTCAGAATGAAGGTAAAAGCTTTCAAACATGCTGAAGGCATGGAGAGGAAAATTCCGATGCCGAATTGTTTGACCCTAAGACCTGGCTGTTGGAAGACCGTAACGGGTCTTCCTTCCACGAGTAAAATTCATACAATATAATAGGATTTTAAAAAAGTACTTACCTTTGTTTTTCCCGACCCAGTTGGACCAACGAGCATCAATCCGTGCCGCACTACTGTGGTTTCATATAGCTGGATCACTTTCCTCACGAACTCTGCAATCAAAGACGCGTAACAATGTTGTGTCCGTATAGAGAATTTATTGCAAAGGGAAATACAAGTAAATACAAGATGAAGTTCGTATCAAGGAGATTATAAAGAAGAACAAGAAAGCCATAAAACAAGGGAAAATAAATGACACACGCACCACTGTATCGCTTTCGTATAGCGATACGCTGTATATCGATTACTTCGTTATCAAGGATAATAATTATACGGTCCGTTCTAAATTGCTAAACTGGTTTTACCTTAAAATGCAATTGTAAATGGAACAGTGAAATTTGGACAGAATTACGTTAGAGAAATTGCAGCGCGTGTTCTCTGTGTTAGGATTTCGAGGCTAGTAACGTGCGTAATATAACCATGCAATTAACTGCGACATTGTCTCCCTAATGCGTATATACCACTGAAATATACGTAGCACTTTAAATAATACGTACCATCAATTTCTTCCAGGCCCATATTTACAATCGTTGCGCGAATTTGTGCTTCCAAAACCCCGTAATCCACGTGTTTCTCTTTTAAACGTGGGAACAGGTCAGACACGATACCTAATTACACGTGAAACATACATTACAATGAAATAATAAGTATAAAATTATTCTTTTAATCGCATCATTCGAAAAATTGCAAAATTGGACCATATCACCAAAATCCTTTTTCCGTTTGTATAAAGATAGAAATATTTTTTTAAAATGATAAAGAACGAAGAAAAAAAAGAAGAAAAATGGCGTACAGAAAGAGTTTATAATTTTATTTAGTTCAATGAAATTAGAAGTTGAAAATAATTTGAGAAATTAAATTTAATAGTTTTACACAGTATGATAGTACCTGAAATGGTCAATACATATAGCCACATGGCAGTCATCACTATAACATGAAATATAGTAATGAAAAATATAATTAAAAAACAATAAAATGAATCTTTTTTCTTGTTTTGTGATAAACAAATTACACAATGTTTGTGAGCTTTCCAGTGTGAAGTTGTTTCAATGGGTATTACAAAATGGTGGCCAGTAAATTATGATGCTAATGATGGACGTATAATTTCTCCTGTTGCTGGTGTTTTTATTTTTGCTTCATTTTGTTCAATTATTTCTTCTGCCAAATTTTGCTCGAAGACGTGAAATGCTCTATCTTTATGAACAATTTGCAGTCGAAATACAAAATAATAAAGTCTTTAGAATTCTCAAAAATAAAAGTATTAAAATCAGAGTTATGCTATAAACATGGTATCTGGTACAAAACAGCGCGCATGCGTTCTGTGATTATGCACAAAAGTTCTGTTCCTATGCACAGGTGAAAGAACGAGATCTTTAATAAAATAATTTTGAAATTCATTTTGCGAATGAAATATAGAATAATTTATTTTTCGTGGAACGATGAGATACGAAGATTATAATAAAATACACTTACCACTGAACAACGTCAAATCATCTTTCAAGAACTTTGGAACATTTACGTCTCTTAATGCTCGTAGACAGATCTGTTGCTCGTTTAAGTCTTTCTGCTCCCTTTTCAAATTTCCCGCCACCGCGATGACCGTCTTCACAGCTCGCATTCCGAAGTCGTAGTGATCCTGGGAAGAAATAAATGAACGAGAACCTTCGATTGTACATATAAACTGTGGTTTAAAAATATTTTACCTGCGTACTCAATTGTTCCGAGCTTAATTTAAACGTGGTCGTTATTTTCCCAGCCAATGTTTTCGCATCGGAGAAACCGTAGGAAAATAGGGAAATTTCGGCGATCAATGCGTAATCTGGAACCATCATTGCCACAGGACGAAATAAAGCCTTCAAATTGTCTGGTAATTCTGTTCGACCCGCATAGCCAGGATTCATAGTGATGAATACCGCGCAGGATGGTTTCAAAACGATTTCATCCCCTTCGAAAATGAATCTGAAAAATACCGTTGTACTTTACTTTATTTAAACGTTATTAAATAAGAAATTCGGATAAATTTTATGCATTTTCCACGTATTGCACCATTGATACGCTATTGTAGGATTTTTAGCTATATTACACCTATGCAGACCATAATCTGCGCGTCTAATAAAGAACAACTCTCTTTAATGTTATTATATATCGAATATATTGTAGTTTATAATTTTTATCTGCATTCACTTTTATAGGGTGTCCCTAAATTCACGCAAGATTTAAATTTTGCGTCATTTCGTGCGGTGAAGTATTGTGAAAGAAAAGAAAGGACAGCGTGACAGCTGATAGTTTAGGGTTTTTTAACCACTTGCGCTGGCAACAAATTCACAGACGCATGTGCCAGTGAACGGTCCAGTGTTCCTGTGACAATTGCCTGACGACGTGTGTGCCACGTCGTTGACGATTCTGCGACAAAAGCATTACGACGTGCGTGACACGTCTTTCCAGCGCAAGTGGCTAAAATAGAGTGTCGTCGCCATAAAGTATTGTCACCAGAAATAAAAGAATGACATGACAACTGTGATGAACTACACTTGTGAAAAGATACTTCGTTTTAATCTCAAAGTCTCTAAGATCTGAATTTTTGCACTGATAAGTTTTGTACGTGAAATAAGTTAAAGTTTCCTGATACCGAATTACTAAGATTAAGGAAACTTTAAGCTGTCGGGACTAGAACTGACCAACTTTTTCAATTTCTTCGAATGTATAATTCATGAACACGAGGTTATGGAGAAGGAATCAAGTTTTTAAGTAACTATTATTATAGTGCGATGTTTAAATACAATTTCAAAAGTCTAAGTTTATTGAAATTAAGTTTGTAATTTGAAGAAAAATATTTGATATGAAACTTTCGTCAGCTATGATTAAAATGGCGACGAAAATCGACAAGTCATACTGATTTAATTACGTCTTATTTTAACACTAGAACTAGCAACCCAGTGAAAATGACTGGTCCAAGAATTTTCATTTTTGCAATCATCGAATATATACACCTGCTTTAAGAATAAAATCGGTAGCAACTCGTATTAAGAAAGAACTGTAATCGATATATTCACTCATATTCATCGTACCGCTTAAAATTACTATAATCTGGGCACGTTATAGTTAGGTGCCCACTAAAGATCGGTAGTTCCAGCGTTAATCGTAACTATTTCTAGGAATTTCATTAGATACGATCTATTTACCAGGATTAAGTAGAATTTGCAAGACGTACAGAGTAAAATACTCAAATTAAGTGTAGGATATTGTAGAGATAGGGTGGAACACGAATAACGTAAAACTATTTATTAACCATAAAATATAATATAGAACGCGCGGTGACGGTAAAGACTACGAATATAATCTATCTATTAACTAAACTCTTATAACTACAACGACTCAATTATACCTAACAACACGTTTACACTTAGCAACACGAATACAACTAACCACACCTTTTCTCACAACTCTCTGCTACGAACTCTAATATACTACACGTACTACGACAGACTCCCCGCTCACGCCCTTGCATTCCTATTTAAAACCATACATTCTATCCTCTTTCATACCTATTCTCTCTTTCCAATCACACTTTCCCACGCACTCCTTGCAATCTTACCCTCAGCGGGTCACCTAGCCCAAACACTCGAACGCATTCCTAAAGACACTCTTCGCTTTCATCCGATACATCCATAAACATCCCGTCCACACGATCCTAGCGCATAGTCATTCGTCCTTTCGCACGCACTCTAGATAACACGCTCGACTCACTCATCCTGCGATACCACACATGTATAGATTTGTACGTCATATTTATGTATGATTATAAATACTGCTTATTACTAGATTTACGGAACCCGATGGGAACCCCATTCTTGATGGAAGGGTTGCTCCAATTATACTATGGTAACAGACTTAGTTAACTTATATTAAGACTGTTAATATAATATATAATTGTTTTTAAATTAAACTAATCGTGGTTTCCTTTACCAGTCAATAATATTAATAATAATGTCATAATCGTGGTCTATATTAAAAATTAAAAAAATAAATTGTATATAATATAAAAATTTAGAATAATAGGAATCAGAATATTAGGAAAATTCGAGTATTTGTAAAATAATTATAATTTACTAATATAGATAAATAAAATGTTGTCATTATGTAATTATATTATGCATACGTCATTCTTCGCATGATTCAGCCTCTTAACACGTTTCGTGCCACGTGTACCACCGGTGGTACACTCAGAAATATTTATTTAATATAAATGCTGAGAATATGCTGAAAACATATGTTTATGACAAATTTAATTCTGTAAAATATATTTCCACTAAAGGAATGAGGAATTATACAAAATGTAGTATAGAACAAAGCACACAAATTTGTTTAATTGTTATATATACGATAGTTATTAATTACACGTAATGGTTAACTTTATTAAAACAAGGGATGCATAAAAATGGCTTATTCGGGCAATCGTTGCAAAACGTCACTGCTCTTCTACTTCTTTTTACTAATCGAAAATTTTCCAACTGACTGACTTTTACAGTCGAACTGATCGCAGCACCATGTGTACCATAAATGGTACACGGTGTGATAACTACTCTAAACAAGCTAATTACTTATGAATTGATGGTGTAATGACATATTGCGTGATAATATATCAATTTTTGACAAATCAAAACGACAAATGGCCTGGAGATCATGTCGGGATAAAACGGCTTGGCACGGAACGTGTTAATAATTTTTGAAAGGGAAATAATTATTTCTCTATGAAGTTACATCTTTGCAAAAATATTAACAATTGCGAACAATTAAATTAACCTTATATAACGATGCTGAACATTTGTTATTTCGAGGGAAGAGCTAAAAATGTATTTAAAAGATTCAATTACTTCCGCTGTATGCTACCACTGGCTCACTGACAAGAGGAAAAAGGAAGGGTGATTTATTACCCTATTTCCAACCAATTTATCACGAATATGTTAAATCACCGAAAAGATTAGGATTCGGAACTTTTATCGGAGGAAAAATAAATTGTAATTTAAATACCAATAAAAATTAATCGAATTAATTCAATTCGATTGTAATTATAAAATATTCGAAAATAAATTTATTTAAACTTAAAACTATATTTGTTACAATTTTCTTTATTTAAACTTCAAACTATATTTGTTACAATTTTTTTATTTATACTTTAAACTATATTTGCTACATTTTTTTTATTTATACTTTAAACTATATTTGTTACAATTTTCTCTTAAAAGGGCCCGCTCTGGAAGATAGGGAGAGTTTTGAGATAGTCATTAGAGAGTTGAGGTAGTCCTTGAGAGAGTTGAGACCGAGAGTTGTGATTGCGAGAGTTACGCGTTATTGAGAATCGAATAGAAAATACAAACCGCAGTGAATCTGAGTATTCCGAGGTACTCTCCAGCGAGTAGAGACTGTGTGACTCTACATAAGTTAATTAAAAATCGACGAAATCAGTCATAATAAAGCGACAAGCGACATTTAAATCGTAAAAGTTCCAATTCTTTTTAACCCGTTGACAACGATCTGTGCAAACACGCCTTTAAACTCATTATTTTGACCCCGCTATCTTATCGAAACAGCAGTAACGTATAAGCATGAAATTTGTAGTATAGAGACGTAGACACTAGCCTAGACTTCTTCTTACGAACGGATAGTACTTACTTATCAACTCGCATTTGTTGCGCTTGTTGAATCGTCATAATCTGCTGCGCGATAACAGACAGCACCTCGATGTCTATCCTATTGAATTCGTCGAAACAAGCCCATGCACCTGCACTGAAATGGACAAAAACAATAACAAACGTTCGAATGATATTCAGTATCTAGCATCCAACAGTATAACGGAAATATTAGGAAAAGAAAAAGAAAATGTAGGATTTTGATTCATTTTACACGTAATCCAACGTTTGCTCTGTCACATTGCATTGGCATAACATGTTGTAGAGTCCTACGGTATCGAATCTCTTCGATTTCCAAGAACGCTTATCACGTGCCAAATTAATATTGCGTGACTAGTTGTGATAATAAGGATCCAGAATGTGTGTGGTCAAAAGAGAGTGTTTATTTACAGAAAAGCGTAGAATAGTTATAATGTAGACGTTAACGAAGTACCGTTTCGAACATGCGTTTGTATGTGTAATTAAGATGTTTTAAGGATCGGTGCCGAAGACGAACTGACTTCTCGATTTTGCTCTATGTCCTGTCTCGTCGTGTTCGGTCCGGAGTTTTCTCTAGTTTAGTTCTGATTGGGTAAAATAGACGTTGGTGGTGGAAAGGTAAAGAGTTTTAATTGGACAGAGGGTGTGACATAAGGACCTTTGGCTAAGGAGTAGGAAACTGTCAAGGAGCCGATTTCTGATGGTCAATGACGTGATTTATAAGTGCCGTCCGTCCGTCGCTTGTTGGGTCTGTCACAAGAGGGTCCCATCTGTCGCGTCTGGTTTCTAGAAAAATTCCTAATTTTGCTTTACCTTTATAAGCTTAATCCGCTAGAACGGCGTTGAGGCACATCGAACCTCTGGAATTGCAGTCGCGTTATAAAATATAAAATAAATCGTTAGGTCTGGCAAAAGTGCAAGCTCTAGAATCAAATTATGTTATAAACTCGCTCTCCGGGACGGAACACGTGTGTTTCGTCCGAATCTTCTTGTCGACTGTATGAAGAATTCAGGCGAAGGTTTACGTCGTTCTAAGAACGTAAACTATTTTTAAGGGTTTAAATATAATTTAATTACAAGATATTTACAGCAATTTACAAGATGTATTAGCGATATGCGTTCTACCGTGGTGTCGTTTGTGTTGTTTTGATGTTTGTACTCTCTGTCGACTTGGTGTCGTGTATTTTGATATGTTCGTCTGTTGCTGTCATTGGCTGTCGAGATGTCTAAGTGGTGGGTGTGTTTTTCTCCTATTGGCGGCGTGTTTGTTGGAGGAATGTGCAGGAGGTTCGGAACTGGTAGGTGGAAGTGGAAGTTTAAACAAATTGTTAATTTGTTTAGGTTTGGGAAATTCTAATTCTTTTATGGGGGTTGACTCGGGGGGTCAGTTTCGGAGGTCGAGGTGTCCGCGAATCGTGGGACGCTGGTTATAAACGAGTAAACCATCGTCCCTTCGATTCGGGTCCCTTGTTCTTGAGGGTATGCATGGAAACAGGGATAAGGTAGAGGTCTGGGTTTTTCCTGATGGAGGTAGAGGTTCGAAGGATGCTAGTTAAAATGTCTAATTGAAGGATTCGCGTCTTTATGGAGGATCGTAACGGTCTGTGAATTGGGAATGAGTGTAAGGAATGAACAACATGGTTCGTCGAAAGAGACTGCAATTTCGATTTTAACCACTTGCGCTGGAAAGACGTGTCACGCACGTCGTAATGCTTTTGTCGCAGAATCGCCAACGACGTGTCACGCACGTCGTAATGCTTTTGTCGCAGAATCGCCAACGACGTGTCACGCACGTCGTAAGTCTTTTGTCGCAGAATCGCCAACGACGTGGTACACACGTCGTCAGGCAATTGTTACAGAAACACAGACAAGCACACGTGTCTGTGAATTTCTTGCCACCGCAAGTGGTTAATCCTAAATATAGTTTCTATTAGACGATGTCAATGTTGATAAATATTATACTACGTAGCATTTGTGAATTTAGCACGTAGTTGTCAAATAACAAATCATTGCAAATTTAATCCGCAATTGTGAAATGACAAATAACGAAAAATCGAAATATACATTTCTTTATTTTTTTATTTCTTATTTGAAATAAATTTTCAATGGAGGAAGTATGATAATGAGTTGCTATGAAAAAGGTCTGTAATGGAAGTTACCTTGCAAGACCCTTGAAAAATTTCCCCATCGACATGAAGTCCAATTGATCGGAGCAATTGAATACTACACATAGTATGGCAAACGCTTTCGCGAGATCTTTCGTGGTTTCCGTTTTGCCAGTTCCAGCAGGGCCAGCTGGTGCACCGCCGAATTTCAAATGCAGTGCCCCAGTTAGAGTTAGGTAACATCGATCAGTCAAAGGAGTGATAACCAGTCTGCCAGTGTTTCCCAAATATTCGTACCTTCGATAAATTTTAATATAACAATTGAAATTAAAAGCACGTAAATTTCAATATAACAATTATAATTAAAAGAACATAATTATATAAATATTATTCGTATAAATAAATGTTATTTTAACATAACAATTAAAATTAAAAGAACAACGTAATTTTGTTCACAACAAAATTCGAACATTTAAATATTCCCACTGCTTTTTATAATTAAAAAAGAAACATGATCTGATTGATTTTAAAGATGAGATAGTAATAAGTATATTCTTCTATTTTGCAAAAATATTGTTTACATCACCAACACATTTTTCTCTCTTACAATTAATCATTTTTGCTTCTTTTCTTTGGTATTCGATATCAGCAGGGATATTTAGACAATTCTTTTTAATGAAATGCAAATATGCATTGTTTTTTAGAAAAAATTTTAATTAATATGATATATTGATTTTATGGCAGAAATGACAAAATCTGACAAATTTCTCGATACATGTATAGTCAGTATATGCGAGGTTTATATTCATTTACGAAGGTATAACTAGAAGTATAACTAGATCAGAAATTATATCAAGTGATAAGTAGGTTATATAAATGCTTTGTTAAAAATGTTTGATCAAAAAATTGAGATTAATATGGTATATTGATTTTATCGCAGAGTTGACAAAATGTGACAAGTTTGTCGATATTCAGTATATGCGAGATGTATATTTATTTAGGTAGGTAGATGATGAGAAAAATGTAACTAGATCAGAATAAGTTATATAATACAAATGCATCCTCTAATTTATGCATCCTTGTTTTGATAGAAAATAGGCTTTCGAGAAAACATAATTTACTCGTTATTTTCATAAAATTGACAGCATCAGGATGATAAAAATCATTCCTATTTATTAGAAGCTAGAGAACTACAAGCATAAGTTCTTTTATCAATTCTAAGAGTCATCAATGAATCATTGATTACTTAACAGTTAACACTGGTCCAAGAATTTTCATTTTTGCAATCACCGAATAAATACACCTGCTTTAAGAATAAAATTGGTAGCAACTCGTATTAAGAAAGAATTGTAATCAATATATTCACTCATATTCATCGTACCGCTTAAAATGACTATAATCTGTGCACGTTATAGTTAGGTGCCCACTAAAGATCGGTAGTTCTAGTGTTGAGCTCCAAGTAGAGAAACAACGAGTAACACGCATTTGATACGTACTCGATCTGAAATTACGTGATTTCCTTTAGGAATTAACTAAAAGGACAGCATTTTAACGCGTTAAGTGCCTATCTTTCTTTTTTCCCTAGGGATCAACGCTAGACTTTGCGTTCGGGCCCAAACTAGGACCAAAAGGTGCTAACTTTTGGTGTTAAATTCTTCGCCATCTTTGGACCTAACGTTTGGGAATTCCTGTTATAACAATTGGTACAGTATCTCCAAATTTTATCAACACTTCGCCACTAGTAGCCCACTTGACAGCCAAGTCAAGTTTATTACTGGGTCTGAACACGTGTTAACCCGCTATATAGGATAAATTTGGTCAGAAATATTTAGATACATTCATGATATGATCTCGAAATTATTTCAAATTTATTAAGAGAACATAGTTTTATAAATTTTGTTGCTGTCAGTCGACATACACTATCCCCCTTGCATGAAAAATACTTATACTGTCAGTTACGGGTGACAATCCCGGTCTGAATAGAAAGTTCAATGTCAGTGTCAGTGTCAGTGATGACTGACATAGCGCTCAACGTGTTAATAATGACGATTATAATGAATTTTGCACGCAGATTCAATATGTTATATAAAATATAATTTTACATTTTAGGTCCACCTTTCTTCCTGGTTTCTGTCCTAAAATTTCGTACGGATTCGTCATTGTTCACGCAAGTCAGTCATAATAACGTGTCAAAATATAATACCCATACCGTTAATCATCGAAAGTGTCAAAACCGTGTGACATCGTTTGAAATAATGGAAATATTTCGCAGCCGATTGCAATAAAAGTAATAAAGATAATAGAGATTGAAAAAGAAAAATTGTTCAGTTACCCGTATGGGAATTCTGCATTCACGGCACGCACTTTCAGATCGCTGTCGTCCACCCAGTAGTAGCGAAGCTGAGAAATCCAATCAAAATCGTTTACATTGGACACTTTTTCCTGCAACAGTGTGTACAAAACATCTCGCGCGTGCACCTCGATCGTAATTACCGCTTCGAGCATCAGTCTCTGGATATCGGTTTGTGAACCCCGTACCAGCTCGCGTAAGTCATCCAACTGGTAAAATCAATAAACATAAATTGCGTGTTCTAGATTATGCAAATAAGAAAGCTATCACCATAAACGTCTAATTAACAGTTATATCACTGGGAACATTTTGTTTAATAATTTTAAACCGAATTTTTCTAGTAACTTTTTCTAGTGATTTTTTTAGTAATTTTTTATTATAAATTTGGATTGTGTGAATAAACGTCTAATTAACAGTTATATCACTGGGAACATTTTGTTTAATAATTTTAAATCGAATTTTTCTAGTAACTTTTTCTAGTGATGTTTTAAAGTAATTTCTTATTATAAATTTGGATTGTGTGAATAAACGTCTAATTAACAGTTATATCACTGGGAACATTTTGTTTAGTAATTTTAAATCGAATTTTTCTAGTAACTTTTTCTAGTGATTTTTTTCCTAGTAATTTTGAATTACGTAAATTTAAGTAAGCGAATTGAAGAAACTTTTAACAAAATATTTCACGCAGTTATATTCGATGAGATGTTTTACATATGTTGCATTATCAGATACTCTGTACGCTGTATTTTCACGTTTTAATATTTAATAGATGCAGCTAGATATTGTTTAATGAATTTTTATATGAAATTCCTAGCACGACGAAACATCTCGTTCAAGTATGAAGAAACTTAGTGAAATTTTAATTATTGGACTAATATCGACCAAATGCCTTCAAAATATTGGAAGAAGGAAAAATAATTGCATATGCGAAGTAATTAATTTTAATTGTTTTAATTGTGAATGAAACAAATTCATTTGGAACGTTTTGATCATATATTCACATAATCAATAATCGGTATAACGTTCAAAATTGAGATAAAATATTTTATGCATAATAGAATCCTGCTCTTTGTGTTGCGTTAGATTTCGTTATACGGCTCATTATGTGTATTTAACTTTGAAATTTGAAATGCTTATGTAATAGGAAAATATGGTTTTTGAAATATAGTATCGCACTATATTTCATTGTTCATTGCCCACAGTTAAATCTTAGAACCACTGTATATACAGATTGATTATAGTCGTGGGAGAAATAAGTGAAATAAGGGAACGGAGAATTATGGCGTTACAGCGCCCCCTGTATTAGGTTCAGAAAGTTGGTAATCGTTACATAAATAACGTAGTAAATAAGATAAGTTATACTTCCTCGCCATTTACCGTAATAGTCGTTCTTTTTTGCCGAGGCTTCTTAAAAGTTGCGCGGCAACAATGGCGCTGGGAATCTTGAAAACGTGTAATTTATAGAAATGGCTTATAAAAGATTCTTTCTACCATATTGCACGGAAAAATTATAATACTAGTATACGAAATTAGTTTTCGAAATTAGAAATAAGGAAATAAATAAGGAAATAAATCGGATCTAAGAACAAAGAGTAATTAAAATGAAGCAATCGAAACATAACCTCTTCTACGCTGTGAGAAACCATAATAAAACACCTCGAATTGGGTATATCAATTCATATCTTTTCTACAATATTAAAACATAGTAATTACATACTACTTAAGAAATTACATTCGAAAATTTGAGATTCTGATTTTTCAAAGAATTTATAATGATGCTTCTAGATTACCCGATGCTAAATGGAAAGATACTTGATACAGGAATGCGGAAACCAGAGAAATGTGGAACGAATTGATATTCAATTTAGCAAGCAAAATATGCAAAAGTAAACCCATATCGAGTTACAGAAACAAGCTGTATATACAATAGAAATATTAGGGTATTATGAGTTGGGAAGGACTCCAGCAATGAGAATAGTATTAAGAGTGATAGCGGGGCGAATATGTGTGCGGACTTATTTCTAATTAAATGCATGAGAACGCTCGAGCCGCTTCTCGAAAAGCGAGGAATAATCAACAATAGCATCAGATTCGACTCGGGCGTTCAGGGTGACATCTAGGATGCGGGCGAAAGAACAAACGGTAGCATGAAAGAGTCATTTTGACGGGATATCTATGACTGTATCGAGTAATCGAGAAAGAAAGCCTGTGTACGAAAACAGAGAGAGTTTAGACTTTAAGCAAGGGTGCAAAGGGATACGTAGTGAACAGAGAATCGTGTGTTTGAGAGTTAGAGTTGAGAGAAACCTAGTGTAATATTTTAGTTCAAATAAATCTGTTTTATTATTAAAAAGGAGTTGTTTATTAGACGCGCAGATCTCAATCAGCATAGGATTAACCTAGCATTAATCCTACAATACTGTAGTATCGCGGGATAATAAACTTGGGTTTGGCTCGAGCGTATTATCTGGAGTGCGGAAGGATGAATGACCGTGTATTAGGATCGTGTCACGGCCCAAAGTCCCAATTCGTCATAACTAAACATGACTAACTTCATGACTTCAGTCTGAGTCAACCACCGATAAGACTTTAATATATAGAACCCTCCGAAAACAAGACTCTTCAGTCTAGACGTAACATTTAACGCCATAACGCCGATCCATTGTCTAAATATTGTAACATCTACCATAATAAAGTGTCTAAAAAAGGATTACAACAAAGAAAGATAGTTATTGAGCTACGACCCAATTGCTACCGGCTTTTCTTCCTTTTAACAGTCATTTTACATGATAATCGTGTGGACAGGATGTTTATGGATGTATCGGTTGCAAGTGAAGAGTGTCTCTAGGAATGCGTCTGTTTGGGCTACGTGACCCGCTGAGGGTAAGGCTGTATGGAGTGTATGGTTTTAAATAAGGGTGTGTGATGCAGTTAACAAACACACAGGGACCTCAGACATTGCCCCTGTGACACATCATGACGCACCAGAAGATAGCCGACCAGTAGTCCCAGACCTTTGACACAGCCCCAATAAATCACTGAAACCATAGCCATCCCTTGGACCCATGACACATAATACCAATAACTTCTCTTTCAGCCAAAACCATTATAAATATCCGAACCTAGAGCAAAAGAAAATTAGTACTATTCTGAAAATTGAGCTCGTGAGTTACGTCTGTTTGTACCCTACCCGCGCACCGTGACAGGTGCATGGGCGTGAAGCGGACAGTTCTTGGGAAGAGTGATTAGAAGAGAGTAGTTGGAGGAGAAGTTTTAGAAGTGGTCAAAACTGAGTTGTATTTTAGTTGTAACGGGTTGAGTTGTAATTGTGTTGTTACGTCGAGTCGTAGTTGCAGTTGATACATCTATATTCGTAGGCTTAATTGTCACCACGTATTGTATTATTATTTTATTACTAATAAATAGTATTTACCACCACCTAGGTCTCTACAATATTTATTTCTTCCTTCTTCCATTTTCCTATCGACATTACTGTATATCGACTAGAGAAGAGTATATCTTACGTGACCCAGCAGTTCCTGGTAATAGTTAGGGAGAGTATTGGTCAAGATTCCATTCTCCACCTGCGCAGTCCAATATGTCTGGCCGCAACAAAGGGTCACCTGTCCAGGCCACATGTATACCCACACTTTCCTCGGAATCACTTTGATAACCTGCAGGGCCTCGCGAATGATCTCTCTGATGGTTTCACGCATCACTGTTTCCAGATCACCCAACCAATACTCCACGCTCCTCACAGGGTACATCGGTGGTTGAAGCACCACCTCCTCCCCTTCAGCGGAATACATACGGGTGATCTGCAGGTCCTCCTCGAATCTCACTTCGAGGATATTTTCGAAACACTTCCTGAGATGCGGCTGCACCGCTTGCACGTTCTTCGCCTGGGCTAGAATCTCCAGAAGCTCCTCGTCGCTGAGGAAATAGAATCGAGGGAACACTTTTCGCTTCATTTCCAGGTAGTTGGATAGACCTTTCTGTACCACTTCTAGCAGGCTCTGACACTCTTGCAGGCTCTCCAGGAGATTCTCATCGGGACATATCTTGATAATCTGTTGTAACAGCGTTTCTTACGTTAGGATGATGCTTTTAGGGTGATAATCGTTGCGATGGCAATACCGAAGACTCCTTCTAGCTAGACTTCTTGTAGCGGATTAACCCCTTGGCCTACGTGCTATCTCCCAATTGCGCAAAATGTTTATTTCTTATGACATGTATATTTCGGCGCAATAAAAGGAATTGTGAAATAGTAAACAACGTTTGGGCACAACTAGTAATTTTAAGACGACTGGGGCATAATCAGAATCTCTCGTGGTACAAATTCCTCACCACGAGTCGGACTCGTGATTTTCGCTTATGGCACATATTCCTCACCACGAGTCGGACTCGTGATTTTCGCTTATGGCACAAATTCCTCACCACGAGTCAGACTCGTGGTTTTCGCTTATGGCACAAATTCCGTACCACGAGTCTCACTCGTGGTTGTAGGCCAAAGGGTTAATCAATATACTTAACACAAAGGCACTGCCTACGTACAACCCTATAATCTACGATCAGACCCAACATATTGGACCTACGTGTGACTGACCCACCTAAGCGATATTGGTTTCGAAGTCAAGCACAAATCGGTAATTTTGATCAGATTAGCCATCATCTCTGTTATGTTTAGTAGTATGAACACGAGTTTACTTACCAAAGTTGTACAGTTATTTAAAATGACGGATGCTATAAATCCAGCTGGTATTAATAAATTAAACTATAGCAAATAAGTAAAAATTCGAATTACATAAGGGTTTTCATGAGCGTTCTTCATAATGCGTCTCCAGTTCCGTTCCATAGCGTTGTACTTCCTGGTCTCTGCTGGCAGCTGCACCTTAATGTCCTCCGAAGTGAATATTGGCTCCAGGTACATCCAATCCCTGGAAATTTGTGTCCTCACTGCCAAGTAACTTAACTACGGTCTAACACGGTCTTTACCTTTGCACCTGAAGCCATAAGATCAGTACTTCTTGCGTCAACTTTAGCTTCAACTCCCATTCGTTGATCTCGTCTTCGAAAGCAGTCTTCAGGGGGCTGAACGCTAGCTGCTGCACGCTGAGGATGTGATTGTCTAACAGCATCAACGTTTCCTCTGAGACTTTTATTATGTACGTGCCTGCATAATAGGAAGTATAAAATTAAAAGGTTTTACCAATAGACATTGTCGACGACGTAAATCACGTTAACCGTTTATAACAAATAATATATAGGATATAAAAGAATTTATTATACATCGATTATTGTAGATCTATTTATTTTTATTATTAAAAATTTCAACATGAAATATATATTTCCTTCAGAATTCAAATTCATTTTATTCAGATAATTTCATGGTAGGCACGTTCAATTAAAGACTAGCTGTATTTTCGACAATTTTCGATATTTTTGCGTGAAAAAAATAGCGTATATTCCTTAAATATAGGTCAAAATCCTGTCATAAATCTCGACGCAATAATGTCTTCGTGGTTCTCAAAAAAAAATCCTAAATACCTAGAAAATTGACCTCTAGACTTTAAAGAGATATATTCACCAGTGGCCTTATATGACAGTGTCTCCATAACAATTGTTTCCCATTCTTCTATCATTTTATTCAATGTTCGTTCCGTAGCATACTCTTTGGCTGCAGTTTCGGAAACAGTTTTTATCAGCTCCTCGAACTCCATAACACCGAGCATTAACAGCGATTTGAATGTTATAGTCGGCTTAAGCGCCATTTGTATTCCAGTCTGCGCGCTTAGCTGTTCGAAATGGCGGTCCTTCATTCCTGGATTTCGGAGCGCTTGTATCAGAGGGATATAGGGCTTGAACTCGTCTATTTGATCTCTTATTGCAATTGCTATTACTTGCACCTCTGTAAAAAAAATATTCGAATATTGCTCGAAGAGTAAAAATGTGTTCGATAGCAAGGGATACTTTCTAAATTAATTACACGTGAAAATATAAATGTAACCTTCTTATATTACGAAAAAATAGGTATAAATCAATTTCGTTGAAAAAAATACACAAATTTGTGTCGTGACTTTTATTATTCATTTTTAAACTGGGAGTATTTGCTTATTGATTACTCGAGTCACGAGTACTTTCTAAACTACCATTCTTTGGAAAAGAAAATAATTACGGATGAAATAAGTACCAGCAAGTGAAAATATAAATGTAATTACCTTTTTATATTACAAAAGGTAGATATAAAATAATATTCTTAAAAAATAAAGCAATTTCGTTCAAAAAATACATAAATTCGTAAGTTTTGTTATTGATTGTCAAATTGGGAACACTTACTTGGAAATTCTTGGAAGGTTCTAATTGCTCGAGTCATAACCCTGTACATATCAACAACGAGAGTATCGATCTGAGTGCCATCAACGTTCATCAGAGAATTGTCCATCCATATCTCGTGCCATCTAAGCCAGTCTATAAATAAAAATGAAAAGAATCAAATTCGTGACAAATTTAAAAGACTGTTTTAACACTAGATTTCCGGAACCCGTCAATTTGACGGAAGGGTTGTTCCAATTATACGATGGTAAAAGAGTCAGTTAACTTATATTACGACTGTTAATATAATATATAATTGTTTTTAAATTAAACTAATCGTTAAAAGAAAAATGGCACGTGGTTTCCTTTACCTGTCAATTTCACAGGTGTCCTTAGAAATAGGTGCACAGCTAGCGTCCGTAAACCTAGTGTTAATTAATACAGTCTAAGATATTACAGTTTCAATCAATTCTGAGTTCTCTGAACGAACTGAGTATTATGTTCTCTATATCAGAGCTATAACTGAACAAAATCGACGTCGATATTGAATTTTGTTCTTCGTAAAAGGTATCATTTTTATGAGTTTCGCTTCACCGTGAAAAGTACACGTTCATAACAGATCTTCCGAGTATAAAAATAAATTGGATAAAAATTGTGTGGGTAGAAAAGTAATTACAAATAGCTATTCCAGCAATGGAAACTAATCTTCAGCTATTCCAGCCATGGAAACTAATTTTTCACTCGCTACAGTCCATTCCGTATGATTTATGCGTGTAGTTTATACGAAAAGTATGAAAAATTCGAGAATCCAGTGTTCCTGGTGTCTCTGAATCCATACACTTTGACTGTCACGCACTTTTCATATGGGGGCCACGATAAAATTCCCATTATTCTTGGGATATAATGACGAATTATCAAACAATATTGCAAAAAAAATATAGTGCGAATTATTAATGTCTTCCGTTCAAAATCTCTATTTATTTGCGTCTTTCAAATATTCAAAAATTGGTTGGAATAAAACAAATGTAAATTTAGAAAATTAGGACATTGGTGACCACCATGGCCTCACTGAGAAGACAAGTGCCAGTTTCTAATGACCACCATGGTAGTTTGAATTTATAAGGAGAGTGCAAGTCGTTCGGGTCACCGATTTAGTTGAAACTTTGCAGATTTGTAGATTTCGTCATGCAATTCAAGAATATATATAATTATAGCCGCCACTACTTAATACTTTTTGAGATATTTACGATTAAAGTCTTATTACTTCCGTACCTACAGATTTATTTCCAATGATTTTCAAGCGACGTTGTTGCCTAATAGGGACACCCAAAAATTCCTATGAATCAGGTTCCCGAGGTTCGATTCTTGTTTATAGTTAGTAATTTTTTTCAATCTATTTTTTATTTTGTATTCATTTTGCATCTATGAAAACATTGTAAGTAAACAATTGTAAATAAAATTTCTTAATAAAAAAATTTACTTTCTACGCTTTCTTATGTAAGTATATATTTATTACAAAATAATAAGAATATTATGCGAGAAAAACAGTTTTCTATAGCAATCTTATTTACTACAGAAAGAAAACGAAGATATAAATAATCATTAGATACAGGAAATACAAAACCTATCGCTCATATAAGTAGTAATTATTAAATTAAACATTGTATAAGAATCTTGCTATAATTCCAATTTTGCTGTGCAACTACAAATGTTCATGAATTAATTACAAAAACTTGGAAATTTATTAATTTTCTACTACGGAATTGATTTATGAAGATGTTCAATTTTTACTGTCTGTTCAGATGAAAAGTTTTGCCGTCTGCGATCAGCACCATCTATGATTTTGGAACCTAAACTAAGAAAAGTAATAGGAACACAGAATAGGCGAGAAGGTCGTCGAAGAGCTCGTCAAATGATAGACAAGGACAGAGAGGGGATAGAAATGGATAGAAAAGCTCCGACAGTGAAAAGTTAACGAATTACTCAATTTCCCTGATTAATTTATGAACTTTTATAATTGCACTGCACAGCTGGAACTTTAAGCAACATTCTTATACAATTTTCATCAAAAATTTACCGCTAATTGGTTAGTCATTAATTATTGTTTGATTGCGTACATGACTTCGTAACAACGACCGTCACGATCTTCCGTGAAAATATTTAATACTAAACGAAACTAGAAACAAAATGTGAACAAAAATGATATGTGAACATGCCCTAGGATATCGTTTATATAATGCGTGCATGAAGTTCATAAATTGATTACGCAGAAAATGTATGTACGGTAAGAATTCAAACAGCCTGTGCAATAGTCACTAATAATTAATTAATTAGGGACAAATTTATATCCAAAATTATATTGGAAAGTTCTTGAAGGATCTGCCTTTACGATGCAATTATAAAAGTTCATAACTTAATCATAGATATTGAGTAATTTATTAATTTTCCACTGCCGAATTGGTTTATTAGGAAGTATCAGGAGCAAATAACCAGAGTCAGTAACCTATCAAGAAAATAAATGTCATCTATGACTTTTGAACTCGAAGCACGGATTAGGTAGAAAGGACATAGATTGCGCCTGGTGGTCGCCTAAATCCACGTAAAACAATAAAACGACATAAATAACTAACACATTCTCTTCCCTTCTTTTTATTCACTTAAGAATCCATAAAGTTTTCTACATTCTTTAATAAATTCAGCCCAAACAGTGGTTTTAATTAGGCAGTCAGCATTCATTTCTATACCTGGCAGACGACAAATATGCAAAGGTACGTCTTTACAGCGCAATTATAAAAGTGCGTAAATTAACCATAGAAATTACGTGATTTGTTAATTTTTCTGCAAGTGAACAGTAGAGTGCATAGGAAATGAGAAAAAATTACAAACAAACGCTGGTTGTGTTTATGTAGGTGTAAATGCATCACGCAAATGAATATACGTCTTTGCATTAACATAACCTTCAGTTGTAATTAAGCAGTGTAAGTTATGAGCCATTACTTTCCCGCTTTTTCTTAGTGATAGCAGAGCTTGGTTGAAAAAAGAAAATATTGTGTTGAAATAAACAGGCACATGCAACAGTAGAAAAATATTGGATTCATGGAATATCACCAGCATAGAGACATTAGATGTCAAAAATTATATTTTATAGCGAGAAAGAATTGAAGCAGCAATACAAATATGATATGATATGTCTATTGGATTCTAGGTTGGCTAACCATATAACATACAAGATAGAAATCTTTGATGGTCAAATAAAGATTTAGAAAATGGAGATGACTTGGGCAGACAAAAAGGAATGAAATTAATTTAGGTAGTGGCCCCTTGTAACAACTAAATATAGACAATACAGTGAGATTGCAAGGTATGTTATATTGTTTATCTAAATAAATATTAATATCTGTGGTCAAAGTCAATGATCATCGCTAATGTGTTATGTTTCAGAATTATGGAGTTAAGGTAGATAAAGAAAAGAGAATGGCTGGCAAGAAAGCAATGAAAAGGGGAACGACATATTATGTCGAATCAAGAAACAGGAAAGGGGCAGCATATGTATCACAGAGAAGGATGTGTGGCATGGACATTCAAATGTAAGAATCATTGAAGAAATAGAGAATGGTCTCTCAGATCGAACTGCGCAATTTACGTTTTTGGCTTCTAGTTCTTGAATTAGGCTTTTTCGATTGGATTTTTCGACTGATTCGTGTAGAGCGTTTCTTTCGTTAACAGAATTGTATATTTTTTATCGGCTTGGAGCGTGCGTTTTCGTGAAATAGTGCCGGATGTGTTAGTGGCTGTCAGATCGTGCTGCGCAATATGCTTTTTTGGCTTCTAGTTTTTGAATTAGGCTTTTTGGATCGGATTTTTCCACTGATTCGCGTAGAGTGATTTTTTCCTTAACAGGATTGGATATTTTTTTTCGATTTCGAGCGTGCGTTTTCGAGAAATAGTGCCGGAAGTGTCAGTGGCTCTCAGATCGAACTGCGCAATTTACGTTTTTGGCTTCTAGTTCTTGAATTAGGCTTTTTCGATTGGATTTTTCGACTGATTCGTGTAGAGCGTTTCTTTCGTTAACAGAATTGTATATTTTTTATCGGCTTGGAGCGTGCGTTTTCGTGAAATAGTGCCGGATGTGTTAGTGGCTGTCAGATCGTGCTGCGCAATATGCTTTTTTGGCTTCTAGTTTTTGAATTAGGCTTTTTGGATCGGATTTTTCCACTGATTCGCGTAGAGTGATTTTTTCCTTAACAGGATTGGATATTTTTTTTCGATTTCGAGCGTGCGTTTTCGAGAAATAGTGCCGGAAGTGTCAGTGGCTCTCAGATCGAACTGCGCAATTTACGTTTTTGGCTTCTAGTTCTTGAATTAGGCTTTTTCGATTGGATTTTTCGACTGATTCGTGTAGAGCGTTTCTTTCGTTAACAGAATTGTATATTTTTTATCGGCTTGGAGCGTGCGTTTTCGTGAAATAGTGCCGGATGTGTTAGTGGCTGTCAGATCGTGCTGCGCAATATGCTTTTTTGGCTTCTAGTTTTTGAATTAGGCTTTTTGGATCGGATTTTTCCACTGATTCGCGTAGAGTGATTTTTTCCTTAACAGGATTGGATATTTTTTTTCGATTTCGAGCGTGCGTTTTCGAGAAATAGTGCCGGAAGTGTCAGTGGCTCTCAGATCGAACTGCGCAATTTACGTTTTTGGCTTCTAGTTCTTGAATTAGGCTTTTTCGATTGGATTTTTCGACTGATTCGTGTAGAGCGTTTCTTTCGTTAACAGAATTGTATATTTTTTATCGGCTTGGAGCGTGCGTTTTCGTGAAATAGTGCCGGATGTGTTAGTGGCTGTCAGATCGTGCTGCGCAATATGCTTTTTTGGCTTCTAGTTTTTGAATTAGGCTTTTTGGATCGGATTTTTCCACTGATTCGCGTAGAGTGATTTTTTCCTTAACAGGATTGGATATTTTTTTTCGATTTCGAGCGTGCGTTTTCGAGAAATAGTGCCGGAAGTGTCAGTGGCTCTCAGATCGAACTGCGCAATTTACGTTTTTGGCTTCTAGTTCTTGAATTAGGCTTTTTCGATTGGATTTTTCGACTGATTCGTGTAGAGCGTTTCTTTCGTTAACAGAATTGTATATTTTTTATCGGCTTGGAGCGTGCGTTTTCGTGAAATAGTGCCGGATGTGTTAGTGGCTGTCAGATCGTGCTGCGCAATATGCTTTTTTGGCTTCTAGTTTTTGAATTAGGCTTTTTGGATCGGATTTTTCCACTGATTCGCGTAGAGTGATTTTTTCCTTAACAGGATTGGATATTTTTTTTCGATTTCGAGCGTGCGTTTTCGAGAAATAGTGCCGGAAGTGTCAGTGGCTCTCAGATCGAACTGCGCAATTTACGTTTTTGGCTTCTAGTTCTTGAATTAGGCTTTTTCGATTGGATTTTTCGACTGATTCGTGTAGAGCGTTTCTTTCGTTAACAGAATTGTATATTTTTTATCGGCTTGGAGCGTGCGTTTTCGTGAAATAGTGCCGGATGTGTTAGTGGCTGTCAGATCGTGCTGCGCAATATGCTTTTTTGGCTTCTAGTTTTTGAATTAGGCTTTTTGGATCGGATTTTTCCACTGATTCGCGTAGAGTGATTTTTTCCTTAACAGGATTGGATATTTTTTTTCGATTTCGAGCGTGCGTTTTCGAGAAATAGTGCCGGAAGTGTCAGTGGCTCTCAGATCGAACTGCGCAATTTACGTTTTTGGCTTCTAGTTCTTGAATTAGGCTTTTTCGATTGGATTTTTCGACTGATTCGTGTAGAGCGTTTCTTTCGTTAACAGAATTGTATATTTTTTATCGGCTTGGAGCGTGCGTTTTCGTGAAATAGTGCCGGATGTGTTAGTGGCTGTCAGATCGTGCTGCGCAATATGCTTTTTTGGCTTCTAGTTTTTGAATTAGGCTTTTTGGATCGGATTTTTCCACTGATTCGCGTAGAGTGATTTTTTCCTTAACAGGATTGGATATTTTTTTTCGATTTCGAGCGTGCGTTTTCGAGAAATAGTGCCGGAAGTGTCAGTGGCTCTCAGATCGAACTGCGCAATTTACGTTTTTGGCTTCTAGTTCTTGAATTAGGCTTTTTCGATTGGATTTTTCGACTGATTCGTGTAGAGCGTTTCTTTCGTTAACAGAATTGTATATTTTTTATCGGCTTGGAGCGTGCGTTTTCGTGAAATAGTGCCGGATGTGTTAGTGGCTGTCAGATCGTGCTGCGCAATATGCTTTTTTGGCTTCTAGTTTTTGAATTAGGCTTTTTGGATCGGATTTTTCCACTGATTCGCGTAGAGTGATTTTTTCCTTAACAGGATTGGATATTTTTTTTCGATTTCGAGCGTGCGTTTTCGAGAAATAGTGCCGGAAGTGTCAGTGGCTCTCAGATCGAACTGCGCAATTTACGTTTTTGGCTTCTAGTTCTTGAATTAGGCTTTTTCGATTGGATTTTTCGACTGATTCGTGTAGAGCGTTTCTTTCGTTAACAGAATTGTATATTTTTTATCGGCTTGGAGCGTGCGTTTTCGTGAAATAGTGCCGGATGTGTTAGTGGCTGTCAGATCGTGCTGCGCAATATGCTTTTTTGGCTTCTAGTTTTTGAATTAGGCTTTTTGGATCGGATTTTTCCACTGATTCGCGTAGAGTGATTTTTTCCTTAACAGGATTGGATATTTTTTTTCGATTTCGAGCGTGCGTTTTCGAGAAATAGTGCCGGAAGTGTCAGTGGCTCTCAGATCGAACTGCGCAATTTACGTTTTTGGCTTCTAGTTCTTGAATTAGGCTTTTTCGATTGGATTTTTCGACTGATTCGTGTAGAGCGTTTCTTTCGTTAACAGAATTGTATATTTTTTATCGGCTTGGAGCGTGCGTTTTCGTGAAATAGTGCCGGATGTGTTAGTGGCTGTCAGATCGTGCTGCGCAATATGCTTTTTTGGCTTCTAGTTTTTGAATTAGGCTTTTTGGATCGGATTTTTCCACTGATTCGCGTAGAGTGATTTTTTCCTTAACAGGATTGGATATTTTTTTTCGATTTCGAGCGTGCGTTTTCGAGAAATAGTGCCGGAAGTGTCAGTGGCTCTCAGATCGAACTGCGCAATTTACGTTTTTGGCTTCTAGTTCTTGAATTAGGCTTTTTCGATTGGATTTTTCGACTGATTCGTGTAGAGCGTTTCTTTCGTTAACAGAATTGTATATTTTTTATCGGCTTGGAGCGTGCGTTTTCGTGAAATAGTGCCGGATGTGTTAGTGGCTGTCAGATCGTGCTGCGCAATATGCTTTTTTGGCTTCTAGTTTTTGAATTAGGCTTTTTGGATCGGATTTTTCCACTGATTCGCGTAGAGTGATTTTTTCCTTAACAGGATTGGATATTTTTTTTCGATTTCGAGCGTGCGTTTTCGAGAAATAGTGCCGGAAGTGTCAGTGGCTCTCAGATCGAACTGCGCAATTTACGTTTTTGGCTTCTAGTTCTTGAATTAGGCTTTTTCGATTGGATTTTTCGACTGATTCGTGTAGAGCGTTTCTTTCGTTAACAGAATTGTATATTTTTTATCGGCTTGGAGCGTGCGTTTTCGTGAAATAGTGCCGGATGTGTTAGTGGCTGTCAGATCGTGCTGCGCAATATGCTTTTTTGGCTTCTAGTTTTTGAATTAGGCTTTTTGGATCGGATTTTTCCACTGATTCGCGTAGAGTGATTTTTTCCTTAACAGGATTGGATATTTTTTTTCGATTTCGAGCGTGCGTTTTCGAGAAATAGTGCCGGAAGTGTCAGTGGCTCTCAGATCGAACTGCGCAATTTACGTTTTTGGCTTCTAGTTCTTGAATTAGGCTTTTTCGATTGGATTTTTCGACTGATTCGTGTAGAGCGTTTCTTTCGTTAACAGAATTGTATATTTTTTATCGGCTTGGAGCGTGCGTTTTCGTGAAATAGTGCCGGATGTGTTAGTGGCTGTCAGATCGTGCTGCGCAATATGCTTTTTTGGCTTCTAGTTTTTGAATTAGGCTTTTTGGATCGGATTTTTCCACTGATTCGCGTAGAGTGATTTTTTCCTTAACAGGATTGGATATTTTTTTTCGATTTCGAGCGTGCGTTTTCGAGAAATAGTGCCGGAAGTGTCAGTGGCTCTCAGATCGAACTGCGCAATTTACGTTTTTGGCTTCTAGTTCTTGAATTAGGCTTTTTCGATTGGATTTTTCGACTGATTCGTGTAGAGCGTTTCTTTCGTTAACAGAATTGTATATTTTTTATCGGCTTGGAGCGTGCGTTTTCGTGAAATAGTGCCGGATGTGTTAGTGGCTGTCAGATCGTGCTGCGCAATATGCTTTTTTGGCTTCTAGTTTTTGAATTAGGCTTTTTGGATCGGATTTTTCCACTGATTCGCGTAGAGTGATTTTTTCCTTAACAGGATTGGATATTTTTTTTCGATTTCGAGCGTGCGTTTTCGAGAAATAGTGCCGGAAGTGTCAGTGGCTCTCAGATCGAACTGCGCAATTTACGTTTTTGGCTTCTAGTTCTTGAATTAGGCTTTTTCGATTGGATTTTTCGACTGATTCGTGTAGAGCGTTTCTTTCGTTAACAGAATTGTATATTTTTTATCGGCTTGGAGCGTGCGTTTTCGTGAAATAGTGCCGGATGTGTTAGTGGCTGTCAGATCGTGCTGCGCAATATGCTTTTTTGGCTTCTAGTTTTTGAATTAGGCTTTTTGGATCGGATTTTTCCACTGATTCGCGTAGAGTGATTTTTTCCTTAACAGGATTGGATATTTTTTTTCGATTTCGAGCGTGCGTTTTCGAGAAATAGTGCCGGAAGTGTCAGTGGCTCTCAGATCGAACTGCGCAATTTACGTTTTTGGCTTCTAGTTCTTGAATTAGGCTTTTTCGATTGGATTTTTCGACTGATTCGTGTAGAGTGATTCTTTCGTTAACAGAATTGTATATTTTTTATCGGCTTGGAGCGTGCGTTTTCGTGAAATAGTGCCGGATGTGTTAGTGGCTGTCAGATCGTGCTGCGCAATATGCTTTTTTGGCTTCTAGTTTTTGAATTAGGCTTTTAGGATCGGATTTTTCCACTGATTCGCGTAGAGTGATTTTTTCCTTAACGGGATTGGATATTTTTTATCGGCTTCGAGCGTGCGTTTTCGTGAAATAGTGCCGGAAGTGTCAGTGGCTGTCAGATCGTGCTGCGCAATTCACTTTTTTGCTTTCTATTTTCAAAATTGGGCTTTCGGAACCGGATGTTTTTATTTATGTATTGTGTCAAAGTCTAAAGTCAGTTTATAAGAGTCAGTTTTAGAAAAATCAGAAGATTATGTCCATGGCGAATGTTCCTTGTTTCATAGCCAGCCGTCGTCATTCTATTTGTAAGTTTATTTTATTCTTTTAGGAAGCCAATAATCTACACAATCCATTAAGTCAATCCACCCAAAATCCTATCCTACATTAATGACTTTTAATCAACTTTGTTAATTTTCAGAAACACTATTTGAAATTAAAAAAATGACGTGTGCTTGCCTGAGGCAGTGATCCATAGACTTCTGTAAGGTTCAAATTCCCTCATGAGTTTGTGCAGATGTTCAAAGGGCTCCACTTTCATGCCAAACAGCTTTTGTCGTTCGTTTAGCAACAGCCCCGTCTCTCGACAATCGGCCATAATTTTCCAGATTCGCTTCACGTCGAGTGCCGTTTCGTGTATGCGGTTAATATCTGTTTGAAGAGCTATATTTGCCACGTTGCTCACTAAGGTGTCTACCTTCTCTTCTAGCAGGACCTCATCCTGCAGCTGGATCTTGTAGAACTTGTCCTGCTCCTCCACCAATTGTTCGTTCGTCTCAGCGACCTAGAAAAATATGCAATTACTCGTACTAGATGCAGGAAGATTGGAGAAACTTTAGCCAGCTGATCTACCGAGGAATTGGAGTACCCTTTGTCACTGGTAGAGGACTCACAGCGTCAAACCAGTGCCGTGGTATACTTGTAAGTGCAAATTAGGTTATAGAATTATTATTTTGGTGGCTAATCAGTGAGTTGATAAAAGGAAAAGAAAATAACTGTCATCACTTTTGATTTTATTCCCTTCTCCGCAGATGCCATCTGAGATGCCTGATATACGTTGTACGCGATAGAAAAATAGACAAAGAGGTAAAGTGAAACTTCACTGACGACGAAAATAATTAATACCCCTTGTTTGATCGATGTTCCTTCGATGAGCTAAATATAGAGGAAGACAGATGCCTGAAAGGAGTACATAACATGCAATTCATCAACAGACACCCTTACCTAGCGCACAGAGGAACTTGTTAACGTCAAAGTAAACACAATCGTGTACCAGCCTTTACGTGTTCAAGGTGACATTTAACACGGTGATCGTGTTGATTCGCTAATCACGCGCTTCTGTGATGCAGATATCTGCTACGCATTCCAACACGACTGTTTTTCTAGAATAGAATATAGCATTTTTCCCTCCATCGTCAAGCATTTTCCTAATTCATTGCTTTCCTGACCTCTATTAATATGTTATACGTAGCGGAATTGCGATTATCGCGAAGTTGAAGCGAATAGGTTAAGTTTTCGAGACGATTTTGAGTTTCTGGCGGCGCCATTTTGAGGACAAAAGTCGCATAAAGATCGTTAGAGGGCTTCTCGAGCGTTTTCACGATACATCTAATCGAATATCTTGCGTTGATACTGTGAGAAATTTTACATAACCTAATTTGTACCGCCACCTTGTTATTCTAAACACGGACATGCTTATTATTTCTTTTCTTATTAATAAATTCCAGAATTTTATTGAATTACACATGTTCTCCCTGCAATTTTAATTATAATATATATATTAATAAATGTATTAATAATTGAATTGAGTATGAGAGATCAATTAGGCGGTTAGTGTATAGACGTAAAATCAACCTAACCTGTATGTAAGTCTGTGAATAATAAACGTGTCAGATATTCAAGTATATGTATACGTATGGTTATTAAATATGGCTCCATTTCATGAAGCCATATTGCACTGTTAATAATTGATAAGACCAGTAAATGACAGCATGCTGAAGCTTTAATACGGCATTGAATTCATGTAAAAAATAAATGTAAACGGTTGTACGTGTTTTATACAACATATACAACAGGAGAAATTCAATACGTGTAGCTTATAAGAAATATTTTCCTTTCTCGATTGCAAAAATCTTCCAGCAATTTTGTAATTATTGGAAAAAGGATCTAATGTGAAACACACACACATGCACAGGCACACACACAAAGTTATTAATGTCTTCTATTCAAAATTCTCTATTCATTTACACTGTTCAAATATTCAAAAATTGGTTGGAATGAAACACATATGATAATATATAACAATGGTGACCACCATGGTCTCACTGAGAAAACAAGTATGGTCACTGATGTCCACCGTGGCAGTGAATGTGTGTTAATTAGCAACTAAATTATCCACGTTGTCACTGCATACCTTCCTAACATAACCTCTTCTTCTCCTCTGACTCTAAAATACTATTCAAACTTTAAAATATTTCTCCACCTAACTTCTCAAACAATCCAATAAAATAATTCAATAAAAATCCTCACCTCTTTCTCAATCTGAAGGGGTGATCCAATGGCTTCCCACTTCGCCTGGAAGTCTTCATCGGATATGTTCCAATAGAATATATCAAGAACGTCGAAATCAAATTTCAATGTGCTCATTCTCTCTTCAAGATCGCGAACTCGAAGCGGTATTGTCTCCATCCATTCACGTATCTCGAATATATGCTCGATACTCTGCGGCACTTCTTTCAATTTATACCTTATCTGCGTGTATTCCTCGAGGATGCTATCAACCGAGTCCCGTAGCCTCTCGGTGAGCATAACGAGCAAACTCGTGGCGCATTTGTAGCGTTTCTGCATGAGGAAATCCTTTAAGGGAAGAACGTTCACCAAGAAAGCACCGATGGGTATGGTGTTCGGCAGGGTGACCTTGAGATTCTCTTCCATCGTGATGTGAAACGCAATTTCATCCTTTATCTCGGCAGTGCTCAGCTCCTCCGCCTTGTAGTCCCTCGAATATCGAAATGGAATTTCATTTAGTTCGGGAATAAATCAACTCAGGCTTCCGACCGAGTTCGGCAAGCGGAATTATTTGACAAGCTTAGCATAGGATATATTTAGTTCCGCGGGAGGAGAAGAATTCGATTAATTGCTGTAAGGAGGATTCCGCATTTCAGGCTCCTCTTGCACCCTGCTAGGGTCCTGGTTACTTTACCATTCTGCCTATTCTCTTTTAAAATAGAAGTTGTTCTGTCGCGGAACAAGGAAGACCCGTTACGGTCTTCCAACAGCCAGGGTCAAACAATTCGGCATGGAAATTTTCCTCTCCATGCCTTCAGCATGTTTGAATGCTTTTACCTTTATTCTGACTTCTCGTGTCGCGGAACACGAGAATCCTGGAAATCCCTAATTTAACGAAATTAGGCGACGGCTCTTAAGACTTGGCTGACAATAGGCCTGAGGACTCCACGTGGTCCGCACACGTTGGAAGCCTCAGGCCCTCGCTAGGGGCCATAAACGACCGATGGGTTCACCAGCGCGTGGGTGGACCCCACGTACCTCACCTTGGAGGAGAGGGTTTCCTCCACTATCGTCTTCCTTTTGGGGGAACCTTCCCTTCCTCCAAGGTGATCGATTCGCGGACCAAGGGAACGCCCTTGGTCAAATCAGCCAATTATATTTGGCGAGCTCCCGATTTTTCCTAAGACCGATCTTAGGAAGATCGAGGAGCTCACACTTCCTTTCGAATCATCGAAGAGAGCAGTTAGCTTCGAATCGTCGAAGACACGCTTCTAAACAAAACCTCATAGAGAACGGCTCATGCCTAGAGTACCAGAGTTTAGCGTTCGACTCCAGCCGAGATCTTGCTTTTGCTCGTGCTAATTGAAACAGTTGTCCAAGATTAATTTGGCGGGCAACACAGCGAGGTCGCGAGACGGATTTACAATCCGTTTGAATACATCAAAGGATTCAAACGCGACGTAACAGAAGTCGTAGATAGAATACATATCCTCTTATCTCGGTTTTATGACGAATTTACGGATGGAAATTTTATGGTTAATTTACGGTATTATCGAAATTTGTCGTTCACACCCCTAAAGGGTGTCCCAAAATTCGCGCAAGATTTGAATTTCGCGCCATTTGTGCGGTGAAGCGTTGTCAACGAAGAAAATAATACAGTGTGACATTTCAGGATTATTAAAAATGTAGAGCTACGTGAAAAAGCAATTCAATTTATTTAATTAAAAATCTGTGTCTTCTATTAAAATTACTTCTTGCGTGAATTTTGGAACACAATAGATAGATATAAGCTAATTAATCTAATTTGATTTTGGTATACTTACTCGATGTACTTCTCGATGTCGAGATTGAAGAATAGTTGGTATCGAAGGTATTCCTTTGCGTATGCTTTTAAGGGTATCGTAGACTTTTGGTAAGCTATTTTCAGGATATCGCGAACTCTGCATACCTGATCTTCGAGCAGTCCAACGGAACTCAAGAAAATGTCACTAGGGAATTTCAGTCTCGGAAGCAGGAAGGGATGCACTTGTCTGACTTGGTGGCAGGCAATCAGTGCGTTATCGTACAAGGTAACGATACTTTCCTTGGAAGGGTAAGAGATGCATGAAATGCAAAATTTGCAAATAAGATCTTCGCATACATACTTACGCGAAATATCATTTTCTCAAAAAACGAAAAAACTATGTTAAATATATTCACGTTATTTTTCACCACGTTAATAGTGTTCTATACTATTCTACTATTACAATACTGTACATAATTTTATTCGCATTCTCTAATAATTAAATAATTTTATTACCTAGGATATATAATTATCCATTCGTAATTATCATAATTATAAATATCAATTGAATTAATAATTACGGATGAAATTTATATTAATTTTGTTCTAATTATAATTAATGTAATTAATTTAATGAATCTAATATTAATTTCGTTTATAATATTTAGTAATACTAAAATTCTGATTTCACTACTTTTTCATTTTGAAATTTGTCTCTTAAGCAGTGTCTTTGAGGAATCGAGGGTAGGGATAGAGAGTGAGATGAAAGTGACGTAAACAAAGTATTTACCACAAATTTCTCTGGATCTCTAGTGTAAAACACATTCTCTTCGTCCATTTGCAGATCAATAATGAAGATGGGACTGCTGACAGGCTTGAATTGGGTGTTAATGAGATCGTTACCCCATGTAAACGATTCGTCTACATCCAGAACGCACAGTGCTGGAGTCACCATGATGTCTCTGTATAGCTTGATGGAATTCTCCACCAGAATCCTCAGAGCATACTAATTACGAGATATGAATAATGCAAATTAGGTAACTTATAAGAACACGTTTAATATTATTTCTATGTTGCGAAAAATATTAATTCCGGATTAAATAATTATTCTAATGATTCGCTTAAAAGAAGAACAAAAATTTTCTCTTAAATTTGAATTGTCGTGTCATGGTCATGTAAATTACCTAATTTGTATTGTTTAATATTATTTCTATGTTGCGAAAGATATTAATTCTGGATTAAATAATTATTTTAATGATTCGCTTAAAAGAAGAACAAAATTGGTTATTACTTGAACTTATAATGTATTTATGTTAACAAGTACCTGTGATTTGCAAAATATTTATAAATTATTACACTGATCTTTAATAACAAATTGTTCATAGCGTAAATTTGTAATAAAAGTGAAAAAATTAATAAATTATTGGCCATTACTTGAATTTAGAACGTATTCGTATTAAAATGTATCTATAATTTACAAAAAGTTTACAAATTATTACACTGACTGTTAATAACAAATTAATATTGATAATAATAAGTTATTCGTACCGTAAATTTATAATAAAAATGAAAAAATTTAATAAATTACTAGCTATTACGTAAATTTATAAAGTACTTGTATTAAAATATATCTATAATTTACAAAAAGTTTATAAATTATTACACTGATTGTTAATAACAAATTAATTTTGTTAATAACAAATCGTCCAGAATGTAAACTTATAGTAACAATAAAAAAATTAATACATTATTGTTTATTAACACGGAGAAATAAACATTAATGCAATCGGTGAAGTTTGGAAATTTTTTATCGGGGTGGGGGACTCGGCCGATCGGAGGCTATATAAAGGGCGACGCGACGCAGGTAAACTCATTTGTCGGTTCGACTTCGGAAGTGTAACATCTAAATTTTCGAAGTGCGCGAGGGGTGGGAGTTCGAAAGTGAGGTTGGGGCTAGCCACCCCACCCTCACCCCACCCCATTAAACCATTTACTAATCTTTTTTTTTGTTTTCAGGTATTAATATTTTTTTTTTGTTTTCAGGTTCTAATTATTTTATTTTTTTTCAGATTTTAATAATTTTTTATTTTTTTAGATTTCTTTTGGTTTTTATTTATTTTTATTTGACCATTCGAATATTTCGTATAATATTCGAATGTCTC